CCGACACATTATCACTTGACTTTACATAATCAATCGTGATAATTCCTCTAGAGAGTAATTGTCACCTACTTGGTTTTGGATTTAGTTATTTTCGTCTACGTCTTTTTCCTACACATATAAATAGTCATTAAACACCATTTTTAGAGGAGTTTTGCGACCGGAGACAAGAACATCACGTGGAACAACTTGTGGAGAAGAAAAACATCGAGTTATTCATTCCTTTATCTTTTCTTTATAATTTGTTTATGCAAAATACTTGGAAAATTATTACTATGAATATGAATGGCTAAGCACTCTGTTTCTAGGGTTGTGGTTGACATGATTATTAATATTTATTAACTGGGGAACCATGAAGAGCACTTAAACAAAAGGCAGTAGATTGATCGAGCTTGATAATTTCTCAGCAATGAGGGCAGATATAGTGAGAATAGCGAATCAGATGAATAAAATGACAATGCACCACGCACAACAGATGCAACATGTGCAACAGATGTCTACTTGCTGCGAGTTATGTGGTGAAGGTCACACAAGTGACATATGCCCCGTGAATCCTGAATCAATCTACTACGTGGGGCAACAAGCTAGAGGGCCGATGAATCAACATGCTCAATATGGTAACACATACAATCCGAACTGGAGGAATCATCATAACTTCTCTTGGGGTGGAAATCAGAATATCAAACCTCAAGCGAATTACAATCATCCACCTCAACCTCCACAACAAGAAGATGAGAGTTTGACTGACATGATGAAAAAGCTCTTGATAGACAATCAGAAAGTTATGGCTGAGAATCAATAATTGCACACAGAATTTAGAAATCTAGAGAGGCAGTTTGTGCAAATGATTAACAATCAGAATACTAGACCTGCTAGAGCTCTTCCGAGCAATACAGAGAAAAATACTCAAGTCAATGCAGTGACACTGAAAAATGGGAGAGAGTTGGTAGAAGTGCCTAAGAAGAAAAAAGAGCAGTCTAGGATCTAAGAAGAAAGAGTGCCAAAACCTGTAGAGGTAGATGAGAGAAACAAAACAGAGCCTGAGCAAATATCAGAGAGGGTGCCACCACATTTTCCTCAAAGATTGAGAAAGAAGAATGATGACCACATGTTTCAAAAATTCCTAGATATGCTGAAGCAGATACATTTGAACATCCCTTTGGTGGACATGCTCCGTGAGGTCCCAAAATATATAAAATATATTAAGGACATAGTGGAATATAAAAGGAGGTTAACTGAGTTTGAGACCGTAGCACTTACTGAGGAGTGCACTTCCAGGAATCAACATAAGCTTCCACAAAAGCGTAAGGATCCGGGTAGTTTTACCATCCCCGTAAGGATTGGTGAATTTGATGTGGGTAGAGCCTTGTGTGATTTGGGTGCAAGTATCAATATGATATCGTTGTCAGTGTTCAAACAATTGGGCTTAGGAGCTCCAAGACCTACCACGGTGATGCTACAGTTAGCTGATAGATCTTATGTTTATCCTGATGGGGTAATTGAGGACGTCCTGCTGCAGATTGGGAAGTTTATTTTTCCTACAAGTTTTATCATCCTAGATTACGTGGCTGATGAGTTAGTTCCTATCATCTTGGGAGGACCTCTTTTGGCCAATGAAGATGCAATTATCAAAGTCTGAGAAGGTAAGATGATCCTGAGAGTGGACAATGAAGAAGCAGTCTTCAACGTATATCGAGCCATTCAGTTGCCTCGTCATTACGAGGACCTGACCATGATTTCGATGGTGGAGATAAATGAACTAGTCGTAGAGCCAAGGGCGTTTAAAGAAGATGCACTATAAAATGCATTGACGTTGTTTAATTACTTGGAACTTGAAGAAGAGGTTGAGGATATGTTGTACATTCTGGATGCATCGTGTGAATACATAAGAGAAAGAACCCAATTTGAGCCTCTGGATAGGCCAATCGGCCCGCCTCCTAAACCCTCAGTTGAGGAGGCCCCAAAATTGGAACTTAAACCCTTACCATCTCATCTTCAATATGAATATTTGGGAAATTCTAACACTTTACCTGTGATTGTTTCTTCTCATTTATCTAAATTGCAGGAAGAACAGATCATAAGGGTGCCGAGGGAGCACAAGCATGCCATTGGTTGGATAATGTCTGACATAAAAGGTATTAGCCTTGCATTCTGCATGCACAAAATACTCATGGAGGAGGGACACAAGCCTAGCATGGAGAATCAACACCGCCTAAATCCAATCATAAAAGAGGTAGTAAGAAAAGAAGTAATTAAGTGGTTCAACACATGTATAGTATTTCCTATCTCCGATAGCAAGTGGGTAAGCCCTGTTCAATGTGTACCTAAAAAGGAGGGTATGGTTGTTGTAGTAAATGAACAAAATGAATTAATTCCAACTAGTACTGTAACTGGTTGGCGAATATGCATAGACTATAGGAAGTTGAATAATGCTACACGAAAAGATCACTTCCCTCTCCCCTTCATTGATCAAATGCTTGATAGGTTAGCCAGACAGGAATACTATTGTTTCCTTGATGGCTATTCGAGGTATAATTAGATTGCTATTGCCCCAAAAGATCAAGAAAAAACCACTTTTACATGCCCTTATGGCACTTATGCATTTAAGAGAATGACATTCAGGTTGTGTAATGCACCTGCGATTTTTCAAAGGTGTATGATAGTTATTTTCACCGATATGGTGGAACGGTTTGTGGAGGTTTTTATGGATAATTTTTCTATGTTTGCTCCTTCTTTTGATGAATGGTTGACCAATCTTGCTAAAGTGCTTGCTAGGTGTGAGGAGACTAATCTGATACTAAATTGGGAAAAGTGCCATTTTATGGTATGTGAAGGTATAGTGCTGGGAAACAAGGTGTCCAAAGATGGACTAGAAGTTGACAAGGCTAAGGCGTAAGCAATTGAAAAGTTGCCACTACCGATTTCAGTGAAAAGAGTTAGGAGAGTTTTCTAGGACATGCAGGTTTTTATCGCCGATTTATAAAGGATTTCTCAAAACATTTCCTCTCCTTTGTACAGGTTGTTAGAGAAGGATGTGTCGTTCAAGTTTGACGATGCTTGTCTAAAAGCATTTGAGGAGCTGAAAAAGAAGTTAGTGAGTGTACCAATCATAGTGGCTCCTAACTGGAACGATCCATTTGAGCTGATGTGTGACGCTTGTGATGGTGCAATTGGGGCCATAATGGGCCAGAGGAGGAGAAAAATATTTCACTCCATTTACTACGCAAGCAAAACTCTCACTCCCGCTCAAATAAATTATACTGTGACAGAAAAAGGGTTTCTTGTTGTAGTGTGGGCGTTCGATAAATTTTGGGCCTATTTGGTTGGCATCATAGTCATCGTCTACACAGACCATGCAACAATCAGGTATTTGTTTGAAAAGAAAGATGCTAAACCAAGGCTAATCCATTGGGTGTTACTCTTGCAGGAATTTGACTTGGAGATCCGAGACCGTAAAGGAATAGAGAATCAAGTGGTTGATCACTTGTAAAGGTTAGAAACCCAGAATCATGTAGTTGAGGGAGATGTCATCAGGGAAACATTCCCGGATGAGCAATTGTTGGCCATTACTGCTGGGGAAGTGCCATGGTATGCAGATTTTGTGAACTATCTGGAAAGTGGAGAGATGCCGCCTGATCTTGAACCTTATGCTAAAAAGAAGTTCTTGCGAGATGTGAGGTCATATGTGTGGGATGAGCCAATCCTGTTCAAATCTTGTATTGATCAACTAATGAGTGCCCGAATCTGAAATAAATGCTATCTTACATGAATGCATGCATCGCCTTATGGTGGTCATCATGAGGGTGACAAAACAACAGCTAAGGTATTGCAATCAGGTTTCTATTGGACTAGGGTGGTTAAAGATGCCCATGAGTTCGTGAGGAGATGTGATAGGTGCCAGAGAACATGAACAATTACGAAAAGGCATGAGATGCCATTGCACGGTATTATGGAGGTTGAAATTTTTGTTGTTTGGGGAACTGATTTTATGAGCTCGTTTCCCTCGTCCAGTGGGTGTAAGTACATTTTGGTGGTCGTTGACTATGTGTCGAAGTGGGTGGAGACCATAGCTCTTCCTACCAATGATGCCAAGGTTGAGGTTAAGTTTGTGAAAAAGCATATATTTATAAGATTCCGCACTCCGAAAGTGATGATAAGTGATGGGGGCACCCATTTCTGTAACAAGCTCTTAGACAATGTCTTAGCGCAATATGGGGTCAAACATAAAGTTGCAACCGCTTACCACCCTCAGACTAGTGGGCAAGTGGAAGTTTCAAATAGAGAGATAAAGCAGATCCTGGAGAAGACGGTTGGTCAAGTAGGAAAGATTGGGCTACAAAGCTTGATGATGCTCTATGGGCATACCGGACCACCTACAAAACTCCAATCAGAACCTCCCCTTACAAGCTGGTTTATGGGAAAACATGCCATTTACCGGTTGAACTTGAGCACAAGGCTTATTAGGCAATAAACAAGCTGAACTTTGATGCAGACTTAGCGAGTAGAAAGTTGTTGATACACCTGAACGAGCTTGATGAGTTTCGCTTGCATGCGTATGAGAATGACAAATTATATAAAGAAAGACCAAGCGCTAGCATGATGAGCATATCCACCATCGCGAGTTCGAACCAAGCCAATTGGTTCTCTTATTCAATTCGAGATTGAGACTCTTTCCGGGGAAGCTCAAATCAAGATGGTCGGGCCTGTTTGAGGTAGTGAGAGTCACTCCACATGGTGCAATTGAGATGCGCGTCATAGGTGGCGAGAGAACATTCTTAGTGAACGGAAAAAGATTAAAGCACTATTATGGGGGTAACTGTGATCGTCAGAAGTTGAAGGTGTTACTTGCCAATGATTTGACGAGATTATGTGTCGTGCCGCAACGTTAAATCAGGCGCTTGTTGGGAGGCAACCCAGCTTTACTGCTTTCTTTTATTTTTATCTTATTATTGTTGTAGTGTCTATTTTTGTTTTGTAAGATTATAAGCATAGGAGGCAAAGCCATTGGAAGAGTGCAAAAGCGAGCTAGATGGTGAGAACTAAGTGTAGGGTGCCCACACAAAGGACCATGCCTGGGGAAAGTCTGAGTAACTCGTGAGCCGTATTGCTTCGGCCTTTGGCCTTTCAGGGAGTTTCTTGTCCACCCTCATTATTATTTTTCTTTATTTGTGCATTGGGGACACTGCACTCTTTTAAGTTTGTGGTGGGAGAATTCTCTAGTTAATTAGTAGAAGGATGTTAGAAAAATGTTAACTTCGTATTTTTGTTTTCATAGTTGTGTAGTGTTTTAGTATTTTAGTAGCTAAAAAACAAAAGTAGAAAAATTGGACTTTTCCTGACGATGGATCTCCTAGACAGTTTTCTTGAGGGATTTAAGTCTAAAAAAAAGGACAAAAAGATTTTCTTTGTAGGTAGTGTAGTAATTCCCCCTTAGTTTTTCTTTGTGCCGCGGTTCTTTTCCAAGGGTTTTGTTTGAACCGGGTGTAGTTAATTTTATTTTTAGGAGTAGGAGCCATTATGAGATGAATTAAATTGAAGCAATATCTCTTGACTTTGTTATGCCTTGAGAATAGAGAGTACTTTGGTTGTGACGCTTATGCTCAGTTTTTGACTCTTGTGTAAGTATCTTAAATCGTATGATCTTAAATTTGCTTCACTGCTTTGACTAGAGTGTCTTGATGAGTCCAATCCTGAGTGAGTTATGTGCCATGTGTGTGTGAGGTTTGTATGTATTCTATGCATTGCATTTGATGTCAAGAACTTGCCTCGTGTGTTTACAAAGCGAAATAATAGTTTTGTTTAGTCTTGGAAGTGATATAGGCGTTTCATTGTTGAGCCATATATATATATTTTACCCGCCTAATTGTTATGTATCGTAGTGAACCCCGTTGAGCCTGTAATCCTGTTTCTTTGGCAATCACATTACAAGCTTTACCCATTTATTTGAATTAGCCGTCTAGTTGAACCTTTTCACCTCTCATGAGCACTTGAATTGTTATGAACTTTGTAAAAATTAAAGTGTGGGGTGGTTGGTTTGACTTTTGAGTGGAACTAATGAAATAAGGATAAAGGTGCACTGTTTTGAAAAATAAAAGCCACTTGAAGTGAAAAAAAGAAATAGTGGTATTGCTATGAAACATATTCCTTGATCGTGGTGACTCTTTATGTAATTTTGCTTAAAGGACTTGGGAGTTAATATACATTGATGTGAAGGTGGAGTTATGGTTTGACATAGGTATGGGATTTGAATGTTAAAGTATATTTATTAAAGTGCTTAGGGAGGTGTAGTCACTCTTATATCCAAATGTATCCTACCCGACCCGCAGCCTACATTATAACCAATTAATGTCCTACTTGATCTTAGACTGAATGAGCTCGATTAGTAGAGTAGTACACTACGAGCAAGCCTATGGTGTATCTTTTGTGGCATATGAATGTATTTCTGAGAGTGAGTGAATTCTTTCTATCTTGAGTCCTAATTGTTCTTAAATTTTATTGTGTGTAGAACTAATCTCTTTTGTTGTGTGAGGGCACTTGATTCATGAAGGAAAGGTAATGTGATTGACCTCTATGTTAGAGTAAGTGAGTGAGTGTGAATATTGCGTGGTACTTGTGAGTCAAATCTTGAGGTGAAGATGATACACTATTGTGCTTAATCTATTTTAATGATTCTTGGTGTGATGATTTAGGAGAATTGTTTAAAAGGGTTGTGCCTATATAAAGTATAGTTTGATTGCTCGAGGACGAGCAACGTTTAAGTGTGGGGTATTGATGTTTGGCTATAATTATATATATTTAGTGTATTACTTATCTTACATTTTGGGGCTTTAATGCTAAACTATACTATATTTGTGCTTAATTTAGCTTATTTTATGTGCAGATACGTTGAAGACAAAATTGGGAGCAAAGTAGAGATTTTATATGTATTTTATGCACTACAAGAATGGATCGTGATTATTTGATGATGGGAATAATTTTGATGTCATGATTAGCTAGTGATTATTTGTTGTGATTATTTGATGATGGACTGATGATTAATATTTGAAAAGCAAAGAAAGGAAAGCAAAGCCTCAAAAGAAGACAAAAAGAAGAAAAAAAAAGGCAAAAGAAGAGTTGAAAAGTAAGGAACGAGAATGAACAAGGAAATGAGAACGAAAGGAAAAGTTGGCAACAAAAGTTAATTGAAGCAGCATCAGGCGTAGCGAGCAATCTTGTTCGTGTTAGAGCATGCGGCGCGGGAGATTTAGCTTGCGTTAGAGATCGCGAGGCACGGCCTGAGGCGAGGTGGAGCTCGCTACAAAGGTCGCGAGGCACGGTCTGTAGCGAGGGTGTTCCGGATTTTAAAAGCCTATTTCGTCTCCTTTTAGGTTTTGGACTTGGTTATTTCATTTGAGTCTCTTCCCTACACATATAAATAGTTATTAAACACCATTTTTAGGGGAGTTTTTGTGACCGGAGGCAAGAACATCACGTGGAAAAACTTTTGGAGGATAAAATCATAGAGTTCTTCATTCCTTTATCTTTTCTTTGTAATTTGTTTATGCAAAATACTTGAAAAATTGTTACTACGAACATGGGTGGCTAAGCACTCTAGTTCTAGGGTTGTGGTTGACATGAATATTAACGTTTATTAATTACATATTCGTTAATTCAGATTATCATCTTGTGGTTGTTTCTTTAATTCTAGTTTTAACTTGTGAATTGTTGTAGCTACCAATTCACCCTACTATCTATACTATGCTTGGGAAAGTCGTGTTTATATTAGAGCAGAATTAGAGAGAGCTTGTTTCTGAACCCGTGGCTCGGGGGACGATTTCGCGGTTATGATAGGAATATACCTAACAGTCTTGCTTAATTAAATACCGTATTATATTCATTCATGATAGACTCAATACCATAGGAATATAGGATTGATATATTGTAGGCAGACGAGTAGCATTGTGGGAACATGCTATTCATATAAACGATCTGGTTAATTAGCAACCATAGATAATCTGGATTAACGAGTGTAATTATTGAACTTAATAGGATTGATAAATCAACCACAACCCTGGAATTTTCATATCTTCTGAAGTAAAATCTCATCATACGCATTTGTATTCTTGATAAATTAGTTGTTACTTATTTAATTTCGGCAATAGTAGATTACAAACATCACTTTTAAATAGCTTGGACAATTAATTGATTCTAGTTTGCTTAGTTAACGATCAATCTAAGTCTCTGTGGGTTCGACATCCGACTTTCGAGTCACTTTATTACTTGACGACCACGTATACTTATAGAAACACAGTATACTTTGACTTTTGAGTGGAACTAATGAAATAAGGATAAAGGTGCACTATTTTGAAAAATAAAAGCCACTTGAAGTGAAAAAGAAAAGAGTTGTGCAAACGTTAATCGGAATTAACGAAGATGTAATTAATAAACGTTAATAATCATGTCAACCATGACCCTAGAAATAGAGTGCTTAGCCACTCATGTTCGCAGTAACAAATTTCTAAGTATTTTGCATAAACAAATTACAAAGAAAAGATAAATGAATGAAGAACTTGATGATTTTCTTCTCCACAAGATGTTCCATGTGATGTTCTTGCCTCCGGTCGCAAAACTCCTCTAAAAATGGTGTTTAATAACTATTTATATGTGTAGGGAAAAGACCTAGACGAAAATAACCAAGTCCCAAACCAAGTAGGAGACAAAATAGGTTTTAAAATCCGGAACACCCTCGCTATAGACCTCGCGACGCCAGTTCAAATGCGTGCTCCAGCTCGCCTGACGCCTCGCGGCTCAAGCTCTGCTGCGGGCAAAATACCCTGCCTCGCCTGCTTCATTTACAATTTTGTTTCTTTTCTTTCTTTGCCTACTCTTCAAGTCATATTTTTTTTGTTTTCTTTCCTTTCCAATTGTTCTTATTGTCTTATTTTTGAGTTGTCTCTTTTGTCTTCCCACACAAAGTCAAACCTTAATATATCCACTAATTAAATAATCACAACTTCATTCTTGTAGTGTATAAAATACACATAAAATCTCTACTTTGCTCCCAATTTCGTCTTCAACGTACCTACACATAAAATAAACTCAATTAAGCACAAATATAGTATAGTTTAGCATTAAAACCCTGAAACGTAAGGTAAGTAATGCACTAAGAATATGGAATTATAGCCAACATCAGTTACCCTAACAGAAGAGGAAGCTCAAACTTCTCCTCAAGAGGAAGAGGTTTCAGACCTGCAGGACAAGGTAGCAATCAGATTAATCAAGCTACTCAGAACACTGCAAATTCAAGTCAACCAAAGGGCAAGAAAAATTGCCAAATATGTGGAAGAAACAACCACACAGCCTTAAAATGCTTCTACAGGTGGGACTATTCCTACCAGGCTACAGAGGATTTGCCACAGGCCTTTTCTGTTGTTAACCTGCAGAATACATAGGCTGAAGATAAAGCTATGTATGTTGACTCTAGTACAAGTA